TCCCCGTGGCCAAATGATATAATTTATAATGAAGCTGACTTTGAGTTATTTGTACCTCACCTCTTTCGGTTTGAATATGACACTTTCATTTGAGGAAGCTATCTAGCTTGAGCTAGCTTATCCTCTTCACACATTAACAGTGAGGACAAAGAATGCGCTCTGTAAGTGAATGGTAATTCTGCTTTGGTGCCCACTGATGCCTGAAATAATGGATAGAGGGGCAACTGGAGTATTCCTCTATAAGTTAAGCTGGACGGTTGCATATGTGATTTAAAACTGTACTTGATTCTTTATTTCTGTGTCTTTATTTCTTAGAAAATAGAAGAACTTCAAAAGGAGAATGAGAAATTGAAGGAGGAGATGAGTTCTATAGCTGCAGGGGTATGTACATGTTCATCAGTTGAAAATTGTAAAATTTTTGTTACTTAGCTTAAATGTGATTATTTCAGCTTGATTGTATTGAAAGCTTGAATCTTATTTGAACCTCTTTTGAGTTTGAGTTTCCAGAACTAAACAGTACTGGTTTCATAATTATGAGAAAACATGGACGTGACCTGAGTAGGGCTCGTACCTATGATCCATGGATTGAGAAGATAGACACCTGAACTTTTATATCACTGCTCCCCTTTATTGTATTGTTAACAACCATTTACTATACTGGAATTCTTGCCATGCTGTCATACTGGAGAACTGGCATGACTTAGATAAAGTGTGCAGCAGAAAATTCAGTTCTAAAAATAGCCCTCATTCAGTTTTTTGTGAATATGATTTTTTGAATTCTGAATGGATTTTCTTCAAATAAATTGCATAAACCCCTGAAAGGACTTTTCTTGGCTATAACTGACTGCATGAAATCTGTTTTATTTTGCATTAACTTTTTGCACCTGATTCAGTCTGTGATGATTAGGTTGTGCTTAATTCTACTATTTCCCAGAACATGTCTATGATATAAGTATTAATGTATGTACTGTAGAACTGGTTTATTTGTGTTATATTAAATTTGGTATATTTCAGTCGGCAGTTTCCAGTCAGCAGAGACAAAAGTTACAAGATGATCTTGCAAGAACTCAGTCCCAGTTACAGGGCAGCAGATCTGTAAGTTTTACGTATATATATATTATATCTGACCTGCGGTATACTTTGATCTCAAGCCTATAGCCAGGAATAAAACAAAAATCATGGACAATCATTTTCATTTATTTGAAAATTGGACAAGGTTTTGTTACACCCAGATGACTTATTTTGTTTAACAGCTTAAACTGTTATTGGTATTTATATGTTCATGAAAATGTGTATGTACACAATTCAGATTTTAGCTACAAAAGTATTCTGGAGTATGTTGTAAAATTTTAGAATATTTGTCTTCTTTGTATCAAACCTTAAGTCAGTGTTTTATGTATATATTTGGTTGTATTTTAGAGTGGCGAGTCAGAAGAACTAAGACGGAAGATGGCAGCTTTACAGGTAGAACTGGATGCTGGTAAGGTACGTAAAAATTATATAAGTACACTTATTATTGCTACAAAAATATGCCTTTTATGACCTTTCATTAATTAAAGTGGTTTATTGATTCAATTAGCATCAATTCTAAAAGGGTTCAAATGTCAGCTCCCTTGAAAAGCGACTTCTAAATTCAGGATCATTTCTTGAGAGAGAGAGAAAAAAATGGCTAAGAAAATAAAAACAAGACATTGAAAAAAAGTAAGCGCAAAACATCCTAAACAAGAGTTAGAAAATGACTGCGATTGGATTGACAAATTTACTTAATTCTTTTTTCATATATCAAACATAAAAATAAATTAACTGATTGTATTATAATGGAAGAATGGATCAAAACCCTGAATTAATTTTCAAATAAAAATTTAGAACCACTTTAATCTTGGCATTTTTCTCTACCATTTTTTATCAGTCATTAAAATGAAAAATGACACCATTACTTTAAAAATGCATAGGCAGCAAAATAATAATTGAAAAAATGCAGCACCTTCTTCTTGGATAAACATGTATTAAAATGGATGAATTTCAGGGCAAGGTTTCAGGAGGTGACCCAGGAATGGAAAATGACCTTGTATCAACGAAACATGAGTTACTTCGAATAAGAGACATGCTTGAAATGGCTGAAAAGGTAACATATGCAGAAAGACAAAATTAGAATTTGTTTCTGAATGTTCCTGTAAACAGTAAAAATGTCCACACCATTTTTATATGAATGTGACATAACAGCAGCAGATTCCAGACTGGGCTTCAGGCCTGCATGTCCCCTAAGATACATTTTCAAGCTGGGCTGGAATATTTCTGTGTCATTTTCATACATTGATAGGTTGTGATTTACTTCCTTACCGAAAAATTTAATTGCTGTCATCTGGTTGTTAATTCCCTGTCTGTGGATTTGACAGAGATTTTTATCAATCAGCATGCTTGAATGACTTGTACAGCAGAATGGCATATATGATTGGCTTATTACTTTCAAATCTTGTAATGAAAATAACAGAAATTGTGGCAAAAAAGATGTCTGAAAGTTGCTTAAACATAATAATATATTTTACTGCTGCAAACCAGAAATGAAGATAATGCTATCTATGTCTCTGTGCGAACTGATAATCTTTGCTGCCTTGCCCAACAGCCGAATCAAACATTAAAAGTTTGTCAACCAACAGTATAGACCCTGGTCAGTGATCTGCAGGTTTGCGTGTCTCTATACTGGTGGCATAGGCTGATTACTTTTTGTTCCAGTAGGGTAAGGGTGAATTTGAATAAATAATCTCCTGTTTGAACAATACCTTTACAGTAAGACTTTACATATATGCTGTACTGTTGATTTGCTCCTTTTGTTTGTATTTTGGATAATTAAATCCTGTATGTTAACAACAGACGGTTAAAATGTATGGACTAATCCATTTCAAAAACTCAGCAGGTTAAAAGTTAATGTTTATTCAATATATTTTTTCACATTGCCACATATGACAGTGTTACAAAAGGGAAAAAATACTCAGAAATGAGATATAAGACACTTTGAACTTACAGTGATTAATATTGATTACATTTTAGGAGCTGGAGAAGAAAGTGAGTCAAACAGCACCATTTAAGAACCTTAAACAGATGTTGATGAAGAAAAATGATACTCTAAAAGATCTTAGGAAACGTTTATCAAAGTAAGTACATGTACATATTAATACAATGGAAATTTTCCTAAGCCTAACACTTCATAATTTAGAATGCTACAAGAGCGAACAATTTTGAAGGTTTTATACAAAGAATAGTCAACTTCTGTATTGAGAAGGACCTAATAATTGTTACTGCCCACTAGGTGCTGACAAAAACCAATCTTTACTTCACACAGACATGCCAATATGTAAAATCTCTGTTATCTGGAATGGTTCTCCACAAATTGTAATCTGGAATAGTCCTCCATAAATCTGCAATTTTCATCTAATCCAGAAGCACTCCAAATGATAGAATTTCCTTTATACAAAATTTCTTGTCAGCAAGTTTTACAAGGCGTCTGTGAATGAATTTGAGGAGAATGTTTAATATATCTATGTTTGCTGAATATTGATGATAAATAGTTTGCTTTATGAATTCTTGTACTTAGCCAATTTTGTTCATACCATTGTAAAAACTATGTTAATAAATGAATGTTACAATTTCTCCTTTCAGGTATGAATCTGGGGATGACTAGTCTGGTGGCTTGTTGGTTGTGTTCATTATGGACAGGAAACATTCCATAACTTACATCATATTAACACAAGGACTGATATTACGATAGGAAATCCTAGAAAACTTCTGTCCTATATCTTTGTTACTGATTACAATATTAGATATAATAGAAAAAATGTTAGCACAATTATAACATAAATTTTCAGTCCTAATTTTATTAGAATTGTAAAACAGTTTTTGTCAATTTATATAACGTCACCTTATTGCACTAACTGTTTAATCTGTTTCAATTTAATAGGAGTTAACCAGTTATTGTACTAAGGTAACAATAATCTTTCATTTAATTTAAATTTTAGTAAAGCTGTAATCACAAATATAGTTTTAATTTAACTGTTAATTATAGTGATTTTTGTCCACTTTTATAGCAGTAGTTTCAGATCTTGTTAACCTTTAGCCTGCAGGTGACTGAATCTACCCATGCAACCAGTGCAGGCCAAGTTTAGCCAGCACTTCTGTCAGTTTCATTTGTGTTGAATAATGGAGAAACTAATGTTCTTTTACCTAGATGTACATTTTGTTTAACCCTTACCACGCTTTATATCTGAAATGGACTAGTCCATATATCAAAATGGACAAAATCATTTATCATTTTAAGGGAAAATTGCGAAATATGTTCTGACTGAATAGTGTGAACAAGATACTGCACAAATTAACTACCTGATCTTGGTCTGCACTGGTGACGCCTTCACTGGTCAGATGGGTACATGTATATTTAATTGTTGCCAAGCAGAGTATGGGTTAAAATTTCTCACAAGATATGAAGTAAGAATATGAATACAATGTGATTATAGTTTTTGAAAAAAAAATATATAATACATTTCGCTAGTTGCAGCCTGACACCCTTGAAAGTGAATTAGTCTATAATGGAAGGTCTGTAATACATTGTATCAGGTATGAGAATGAACCACGAAATAATTACATATTGCTATTTTTAGAAAGTTTTAGATGAATGATTTGATATTACATATATTTATATAGCAGATAATACAATGTTCTAGAGCAAAAAATTATTATTCATCATATTTAAATGTTAATACTAAGTAACTAAGAACTTTCTCAAAAAAAAATTTTCAAGCAATATTTTATAAGAAAATCCAAATGATACATTTCTACTGTTTTTATCAATATTTTAAGTATTTATGGAAAATGTGCCCATTGTAGACCAATCCACTTTAAAGGTACATTTTGTTCTTGTATTAGACAGATTAACATGTACATATAAAAATGTTAATCATCCATTTCTTTTTGGTTAGAACAGTTAAATTATAAGTCTTATGCACATCATTTGATAGGAAAATATTTTTTTTCTAATTTTTAAATAAATCAAAATTTGAACATACATATACATGTATCATTTCCATATAATCAGAATACAGACACTGAACAAGACTAAATGTTCAAACTGCATTATCAGGTGATGGTGGTATTCAAATGTGTGAGAATTTAGTTGATTTTTATTTATTTTTGATGAATTTATTTTTGGCATTGAGTGATTTACTTTCATTAATTATGCCATTATAAAATGTGACCAATGAGTAAAAGTTATGATGATAGTTAATTTATTTTGTAAACCTTCGGTATATGTTTCTTACAAACTTAAAGCAGAGCACCTCCAGAATCAGGCTACATGTGATGAAAATTTTGTGAAAGTATTTAAAATAGTAGACATTTACAATGTGGCAGAGTGGTAAATGCATCAGACTAGTAATCTTAGCACTACTGGCAATTATTGGTTCATATCTTGTCAGGTGGAAGCCATTGTTTGATAGAACAAGAAACTACACTCGTTTCTCAGTTCTGGTTTGTTCCAGTTTTAAACAATTTTGACAAGTAAAAGTCAGACAGATATTTCATTTACATTTTATGTTCAGAATAGAAACTAAATCCTGACTGGTTAATTTGAGAAAGGTGTCAAGGCATATTGGTCTCTGTTTTCATAACTGGGTATATTTGTTATTCAAAACTTTTCTTTTTATCAGAAATTGTATTTACTGTTAGAATTGTGTGTATGATTATGAATTTTAATGATTTTTTTCCTGTTATATTTATATATTATCACTGATATATATACCTCTGTCCGTCCAGTATGCTATAGCTATTATTGTTCAATATGCTATTGTTGTTGTTGTTATTGTTATAGTAAATGTGATTTGTATGTAATTGTCTTTTTGGCCTATCTTATGTACCTAACTTATATAAATGTCAAACTCCGTCTTTTGTAAACTGTGTATTATTTATAGTTATGTATAAATGGTAGACACATGTATCTCCTTTGTCACCAATCCATCATAATTGTTAAAGGATACTTTTTATGTATAATTAGTAAGATTGTTGAAAAAAGTTGGTTTTTTATAGAACCTCTGAATGCTTGAAATGAAGAGCTTTTGTAGCTTATATAGATCCCAGGCTAGCCTGCACCTCCATACAGCCTGACCAGGCTATATACTGTTGACTGATTAATTTCATCCTGTTGCTTGGACTGTTCCTAAGAATAATGGAAGCTGGACATGCCCATAAAACAAGGTTAGGAGGATATTGGTTCATTCGCTGAAATTATATTTTAAAAAATACTAACATTAGTAAAATGTTAAAATTGAACATATCGTAAAAATAATATGTTGATTTTTTGCTCTGAAAGCTATTGCCTTTTTTTCTTTGAGGAACTGGTTTTTAAATGGATGTGCAAAATGAGAGCTCAGTAGTTAGCACACACCTTTTGTTTCCCATAGCATGGGATTGTCTATTGTTGTCCTGTTTGTATATGTTTGTATTATTCATTAGATGCATAATAAGGATCACAAAACTATTATGTTTGTTTTTTTCTCTGACTTTCTGAACTTCTGCGTGCCTTATGAAAAAATGTTTTTTTTAACAAATTATTGGCTTTAAACCTTTGCATCGCTAGTGACCATAAAAACTGACCTTTGCCACCAGTGTTGAATCTGTCCTCAAGGTTATAAAAATTTAAACTGAGATCAGTCTCAAATCTCAGAATTTCCATTGGTACTTTGTACATTATTTGCAGGTTATTGACCAATGAAATGCATGAGATCAGAGTTTGAGCTTGAAAATTTATTTATAACCTTGGACCCAGGCCTTACTTAATATTAGTGAAGTCTGACAAGGCTGTATACCGATGGTTTCTTGATTTTGGGTATTTTAACATTGAATTCCCGTAATATTTCAATGGAATGTCCCGAACTCAAAAAAAACGGGACAAGTCCCATTACAAAAATAAAGGCATTTTTAAGGGTTGAAGATGTGAAACTCAAAAGTAATTTATTTTTGTCAGTGAAAGTTTAATGACAAAAGATAATCTCACGAGATAATCTTGTACTTCAGGAATGTTTTATTTTATAGATCTTTGATAACTGTGCAATATTGTTATAACTGTTTGAGCACCAGTAGTCAGTCTGTTAGTCGTAGTGCAAGGTTTGTCATATTTGATCAGTTTGTTAATTAGGTACTTGTGACGCCACAAGTAAATACAAACATAGAACAGGGCTAGTCTATACATAAGATCAGGTAACATAATGATGGCTTGTATAGTATGAAAAACAGTATTTAAATCTTTAAATCGCTGACATTAACACTGGGCAAATTGGAATGTTATGTAACACGTTTCCTTTACATTCATACAGCTGGGTTATATTGATATAGTGTTAAGAATGGTTATATGTTACATGTATGATATTATATATTGGTAGCAACATCATACAGATGACCTTTCATGTTAAGTTGTTATATCTCAATATTACCAATTGTTTTAAAATGTCACTCACTTTATTTTGCTCAAAATACCTGGAACTAAATGAAAAAGTTTTATTCACGGTGTCCATATTAAAACACTATCTTGTTGTTTAGTTCTATGTTTCTTTTTTTCTCAACGCGCTAATAGTAATATTATTGTGATCTTGCAAATAAATGGTAGATATATGTATAAAATTGTTCTTTTGTTTTATTTTTTCATTGATTACTGAGACGCTGTTCTTCATGTAAAGCTGACGCCAGCATTTTAACTATGTAAAAAAACTTTCGGATATTTAAGGGAATACAGTGAAGTGCACATAACCCACGTTGATAGGCATTGTAAAAGGTTCTTAGCGCAATAAAACCCGTGGTAATAACCTCGAGGAATACAGTGAAACTCACACAATCCACGGTGATAGGTCTTTTAATGGGTTGTTAGCGCACTAAAACCCACAGTGATAACCTCATGGGAATACAGTGAAGCTCACACAACCAACGGTGTCCTTTTAGTGGGTTCTTAGCGCAATAAAACCTGCGGTGAAAGCATCGCGGAATGAAGTGAAGCGTACACAACCCACGGTGATAGGCCTTTAAGAGGGTTCTTAGCGCAATAAAAGCCGCGTTGATAACATCAAGGTACAGTGAAGCTCACGCAACCCACGGTAATAGGCCTTGTAGAGGGTTCTTAGCGCAATAATACCCGTGGTGATATCCTCAGGGAATACAGTGATGCTCACTCAACCCACGGTAATAGACCATTAAGAGTGTTCTAAACGCAATAAAACCCGTGGTGATATCCTCACGAAATACAGTGAAACTCACACAACCCAAGGTGATAGGCCTTTTAGAGAGTTCTTAGCGCACTTCAACCCGCGGTGATAGCTTCTGGGAATACAATGAAGCTCACACAACCCACGGTGATAGGGCTTTTAGAAGGTTCTTAGCGCATTAAAACCCGCGGTGATATCCTCAGGAAATACAGTGAAGCTCACACAACCCAAGGTGATAGGACTTATAGAGGGTTCTTAGCGCATTAAAACCCGACGTGATAGTCTCAGATATACAATGAAGCTCACACAACTCACGGTGATAGGACTTAAAAAAAATTAATAAAACCCGCGGTGATAGCCTCAGGGAATACAGTGAAGCTCACACAAGCCATGGTGATAGGCCTTTTAGAGGGTTCTTAGCGCAATAAACCCGCTGTGATATCCTCAGGGAATACAGTGAAGCTCAAACAACCCACCGTGAAAGGCTTTTTAGAGGGTTCTTAACGCAATGAAATCCGCGGTGATAGCCTCGGAGAATACACTGAAGCTCAAACAACCCACGGTTATAGGCTATTTAGAGGGTTCTTAGTGCAATAAAACCCGCGGTGATAGCCTCAGGGAATACACTGAAGCTCACACAACCCACGGTGATAGGCCTTTTAGAGGGTTCTTAGCGCAATAAACCCGCTGTGATATCCTCAAGGAATACAGTGAAGCTCACACAGCCCACGGTGATAGGCCTTTTAGAGGGTTCTTAGCGCAATAAAACCCGTGCTGAAATCCTCAGGGAATACAGTGAAGCTCACACAGCCCACGGTGATAGGCCTTTTAGAGGGTTCTTAGTGCAATAAAACCCGCGGTGATAGCCTCAGGGAATACACTGAAGCTCAAACAACCCACGGTTATAGGCTATTTAGAGGGTTCTTAGTGCAATAAAACCCGCGGTGATAGCCTCAGGGAATACACTGAAGCTCACACAACCCACGGTGATAGGCCTTTTAGAGGGTTCTTAGCGCAA